ATATATATATATATATATATATATATTAAATACTAATAATAATTAAATATAATATATTTTTAAAATTGATTTGATGTTTTTCTGAATTTTAAACTCATCCCAATTTCCAACACATTCAACACCCCCCTATAAGGGGTGCCATTAGCACCCCCCATAATTTACTTTGAAGCGTAAGATTTTAGTACATTGAAAAGTATCGAATGCAACGATTTACCGAGTAAGCGCTTATCTGGGTAAGAGTCGTCATTTTACTTACCGGGTAAGACTCTCCATCCTTCTTATCGCTCTTACCCGGTAAGATTCTTGACCCTTGTCATGTTCATCCGATGAGAAAATTTATCCGATAAATACTTACTAGTAAGTGTTTAGTAAACAGCCCCTTACCAATAAGCTCTTGTTAGATAAGTATTCTGGTGTATGACCTTTAAAACTTATATTTTTCTCAATATATGTTAAAACTTCTCTTCATGCTTTTAAAGAAAATATGTATTAATGAGGCTTCACATATTTTAAGTTGTTGATGTAGTGTAGAGAACAACCAGAGAACTTAGAAACCATGACAAACGATCGTGTGAGAATAGGAGCGTAAGAAGTGATAAGGATTCTTGATCACTTTTTTATCTCACTCCCACCCCATAAATTACCTTTGATACGGGAATTGATCCAGTGCATTTCCCTACTGTTGATTTTCATTTATGATTGATCCAAGGGTGAAGATCTTTTCTTACCATTTTCACCATAACTTTCATTTTCATTGGAACCCGACCCTATAAACTATTTTGGATGCTTAGAGGGTCTTTGCTTTAACTTAATAAACATAATTTAATTCGTTAAGTTGTAAAAAATGTGTTTGATTATGGTTTAATTATAATCTATAAATTGATTCTAAAGATGAGCACACTTCGGTCATAAAGAGTCTGGTATGGTTAAAATTTTCCAAAAAAGTCTGAATCTGACAGATAAAAGACTAATTAAGACCGACGGTTTGGATCGATCTTGGTCTGGTATAATGCAATCTGATCTGATCTAATTCGGACTTGTCTTGTCTTGATCGTGTTCGTTTGGTCCAACCATGTCATACATTTTTATGTAAAGTTGGACTTCGTTTCGATCCTAAAAAAAATTGGTCCATCTCATTTGATCAATCTTCTACCTTTTTTCTTTCATTTATACATATCATTTTCCTATCGTCTATTTCTAGTTTTATTTGACTAAATATTTTATTGTTGTATTATTAATATTTTAACACCATTTATTATGTTTGATAGTAGGTCGTTAAGTTATAGATATCTTTTTAAAATAATAAGTCGCAAGTTACTGTCTTAATGATTAAAATCGTATTTCAGACTATTTACTTAGTATAAAAAAACAAATAACAATTTATTATTTATATAGACAACTTAATTACTAAGTAGCTTAATGGGGAAAAAAGATCAAATAACCCTATGAGATAGCTTAGGACTAAGCTTAATGGGGAAAAAAGATCAAATAAGCCTATGAGATAGCTTAGGACTAAGTTTCTATTTTTGCATGATTGAATTGGATTTATAGGGATTATAAATTGAATTTCATTTTAATCTCATGTTTGATTTAAATGATTTTCTGGATCCGAAATCTCGGCATTCATCGAAATCACACAAATATAGAATTTTCAAATTGCAAAGATATAAAACTTTGAAATACCAAGGGACCGTTTACTAAACACTTACGTGGTAAATGCTTACCGGATAAATTTCTTTATCGGATGAACATGAGAAGGGCCAAGAATCTTACCGAGTAAAAGCGATGGAGTCTTACCCGATAAATAAGGATGACAACTATTAGTCAAGTAAACGCTTACTCAGTAAATTGTTGCATTCGATATGCTTTGATGTACTAAAATCTTGCTTATCAAAATAAATCATAGTGTTGACTCCTATCGGTAAGCGATAAGCAAGTGAGTAAACGGAACATAATTCAATTATAATATTAAATGTACCCTTTTATTCATTCTTCTTACACATACAAATACAACATCAAATATCATAAAAAGATGGAAAAATTAATTGCAAAACATGAAGAGACAGACCATTTAAGCAACAATCTTGTAACCTTTCATCTTATCAATCCAAGAAATCAAGGAAGATTTGGAATTCCTAAACCCTAAAAACCCATGTTCTTTGCTCTTGTTCATGGTGTCCAACATACACTCACTTCCAAGAATCATGTCCACAAACCACCATTGTGCAACCTCCTCCAATTTGGTACCCAATAACCCCTTCTCCCTCACTATCTCATCCCAAACTTCCCCTTTGTCCTTCATCATCTCCACCATCCTCATCTTCTCCCCACCTTCATCAAACCCTCCATTCTCAACCTCGAATTGCTCCGCCAACACCTTCCAAAAATGCTTCCATTTGAACACATCGCCATTGCTGATGTTGAAAGCTTCATTCTTTGCATAAGGCTCCACTGCTGCCCATATGTGTTGCTCAGCTATCAAATCGGCGTCTGAAACATCGGAGTAATGATCCCAAGCTTCCTTCGTTCCTGGAAACTTGAATGGAACCCCTTCGTGCTTGCAGATTGTGGCGTAAACGCATAGAGCGCCGACGATGTTCATCATGCTATACGGCGAAAACCCGAAGATCGTTCCAGGTCTATGAATCGACCACGTTAATCCTTCCTTCTGTTCAACAGATTTGAATAGAATGTCCTCCAGTGTATAGTAGAAATTGGGGGCATCCAGACGAGGCAGATCTTCATGAAAAGGGGGATCATGAGCTACTTCACCGTACAATTCAAACGGACCCAAGTAATGTTTCCGCCCAGTTTGTAGAGAAACATGTTGTAAATTGGGGGAATTAGGGATGACTGCATCCAGGACGTTTTTGAACATTTTCCCATTGATTTCACAGTTCTCAGATTCGGTGGATCGATTGGCCCAAGTAACGTAGAAGAGATGGGTAACGTCTTGGACATTAGAGAGTTTGGCCAGGGTTTCATCAGGATCTGAGATATCGCACTGGATATACTCGATCGGGTGGTCGGCGTTCCATTGGGGACGAGGGCGGCGAGCGAGTCCATACACCTTCCAGGGACCGCCGGGAGTGTCGGAGAGTGGGAGGATTTCGGCGAGGCTGTTGCCGACGATCCCGGTAACTCCGACGATTAAAGCAACACTCTGGTATTTGGGTGGCGCATCGTCGTCATCGAGCTTTTTCTGTGAAAATCAGTCGATCGTTGAATTCAAAAAAGCAACAGTAAAGCAGATGGAATTGAACCAAAATTAAAGCAAGTTTTAGTTGATTACCTTTGCAGCTCCAATAGCTCCGGCCCACCACCAGCTCATGGTGCACGAGAGAAATGGACGGCGGATATGGGTGGAGAAGAAGAGCTGCCAATTACAGTGTTTATGATACGATGACTTAATAATATAAGAAGATGAAGAAGAGAGGAGATGCTTCTATCCAACATTTCATTTTATTTTATTTTATTAAAAAGATAAAATTTCATCAAAATATAACCAAGTTTTATCTGATTCTTATTTTGGGGAATCAATTTTCAAAATCGTTATTTAAGAGTTTTTATCAAACTTTTTATTTATTTAAGGGTTTGATTGATTTGTTGAACAAGTAATTTAAGGGTCTCTATCAAACTTTTGATTTGATTTGTCAAATTTGATTTAAAGTTTAATATTGATACGGATTAGTTACATATAAAAATATTGAATGTAATCTTTAATATTTATTTTTTATTGCATCAATTAATTTTTTTTCCATTAAATTAATTTTTTTATTGTATTAGTAAAAACCAATTTTTATCGTGGTAATTTAATTTGATATCTTAATTTAAAAAAACGAGATTTGAAATAAAAAATAGATTTTATTGCATTTTTGAAAAAAAAAAACGAATTTTAGTTATTTGCTATAATTATTTTGCAAGTTGGTTCCTCAAAATAGGAATCAGGTGCAAGTTATTTCCCAAAATAACGATTTTGAAAGTTAATTCCTTAAAATAAGAATCAGGTGAAAGTTGGTTTCATTTAGGTGCAATTTTTCCTATTAAAAATTAGATCTGAAATTAAACAAAAGTGAAGTTACAAATTTAGTCCATACGAAATTCATATTTACATCTATCATTGAAATTTAACGATGTTTACGACAGGAACTCTATTTATGATAAAAGTCAAACCAAATTAATTATACATATAATTATTTTGTTTAAGGGACCTAATTTAAATATTAATATAATTAGAGGGACGAAATTTGTAATTTTACTCAAAAGAAAAAAACGGGGAATTGGAGAGAAAAACACATGTACGGCACGTCAAAACCAAGTTTCCAGCGATGGAAAAGGAGTCCACGTGTCCGAGAATGGACCGTGGGAGCACGTCCTCAAGTACCGACGTAGGACACTTATCTGATCCGACGACCGTCAATAAAAGATACGACGAATAGTGGGGCGCGGATCATGTTCACATTGCGTAAAAGATGCACGTTTTTTGTATCTTATCAAATTTCATTCAAAGTGTTCTTGCCATACAAATACAACCCATTACTATCGATGTAAACGTGAACATTTTTATGTTAATTTATTTTGAAATAAATACTTTGAAATTATAAAATGAATTACATTTAGGAGTCGTTTACCAAATACTTACCCGATAAATGCTTACCGGTAAAATTTAACACTAATATTTACTTACCAGGTAAGATTTTAGTTCATCTTAAACTTCTCACTTTAGCTCCATCTCTCATTGGAACCCAACCAATTGGACTAAATGCTAAAACATATATAAATGAATGAAAACTAAAACATGTATAACCGAACACCGTATTTCATTCCTTACAGTAAAACACCTTAAGCTAAAACATGTATAAAATGATAAAAAGAAAAAGAAACACAAATCAATAATATGGACTTACCAACGGTCTTTGGTCTAGCAGTATGTGAACTTTTGACCTTCTAAAAAGTCAATGACTCAAACCTCACCAAATGTGAATAAGATGTATGAGTTTATTTGTTTTATTTGTCGTATATAAATATTATCTATACTATATTATAAAGCATTTGACAAAAACTTTTAAAAACCACTTTTATGCGTAAAAATACTGTTTATTAATGCATATTACTTAAAACTCAAGATTGCAATTAGATTGTGCATAAGTACAACTTATTAAAGCTCCATATCTGAATTCGTGTAACTAAATACAGTTAAACATAATAAAATACATGATAAACATCTCATTTTAAATATAAAAAATCTAAAATATAATTAGGATAATCATTGAGTTCTAACAGAATATTTAATTATTATTTTTATAAAATGTTATATTATTAAACCAAAAAAAATTATATTGTTATTAAACTTAAATTAAATTATAATAAAAAAATAAATTACATAAAAAAAATGAGAACTCTTAAATAGTTGATTTGATATTAACATTGATATATTTTTTCAAAATTTTTATGATATCTTCAAATTTATATTTTATTCAAAAACAAAATCATTATTGTTTTCTTAAAAACACATAAAATCGTATTATAACATCGATAGAGACAAATAATAAAATAGAACATTAAAATCGAGATGTGTCTTGCTACATTGTACGAATACTCTTATAGTATACTTTAAAAATAATACAAACTTGATTGATGAATTTCAACATCTTCTTTAAATAAATAGAGGTTCGAATCGAATATTTTGAATAAGACAGAAAAACCAATTTTAACTCTCACGAAATTCAGTATATGTTTAACAGAAAGGGACAGAAAACAATTGATTTTCATCAATATCCAAATTTATATACATTTATGTTATAACTGTCTCATGACCTTTTTGGCAGTTATGCGTTAAATTGGAAAATAAATTAAATATATATAATTTAATTTGAATGAAAATAAATAAATGGAAATGGTTGTGATGTGGGATGCATAGAGCCCATTCTCCATATATTTATTTAAGCCCAACTCCTAGTAAACCAATCCAATTCCAATATATGGGCTTTCATACAATCTACATATAAATTTCCTCTTTAAAGGGTAAATCTAAAAATCACATTTTAAGCTGTGTTTGTTGCAACAACTGCCGTGATTCGAGACTTATTACTGACGTCACGTTAAACTACCATATGACCTTATTTATGGTTTTTGTAACATGATATTCGATTTTCTTACCTTTTTAATGTCATACTTGCTAATTTTTTTAATATACAATCTGATTTGAATTGTTTAATATCGTTAATTAATTGTTTAATATTGTTGATTAATTGAGTAATAGTAGAATATATATATATATATATATATACACACACACACACCCACCCACCCTAAGTCACGCCTTGATAAACATTGTGGACTTGTGCCATCGCCACAAGTCCTAAGAATTGAGGCTTGACTTCATCACCACGTCTAGAGATGGCCAAATAGGCCCGGCCCTTGCCCGAGATTGGAGGAGGACTGGAACCGACTGGGGACCAATTGGACCGGTTCGTCACCGTCGGTTAAGGACCGGTTATCGTTTTCGTCAAAAAACAAGGCCCATTCACCTTTATAAGGGGATGTTTGTTTTTAATAAAAAAACTCTTAATGTCCTCTTAAAGTCTGAATCGGTCAGACATAAGAGGATTAAGTGTGTTTGTTTTTTTTTTTCAATTAAGAGCTTAAAAGCTCTTATTAAGTCTGAAAATTTAAGTGGTTGAGAAACCTCTTATTACCTCTTATTTCAAATCGTCGCCTACCTACTCTGATTTCTTTACGCTCGATTTCTCTGGATCAACTCTTCTGTCTCGATCTCTCATCTCTCAACTCTGTCAACTGTCGATCCATATCAACTCTCGATCTCTCATCTTCAAACTTCAGATTTCAGACGCAAAAAACAAACAGTCTGATTGATTCAGATTTCAGACTTCAGCACCACCTCTTAAAAATCAGAAATGAATTCAAACTTCAGACTGCAGCACCTCTTAAAAAACAAACGCCACCTAAGTGTATTCTATTGAAAACCAATTATAAAAACTATAATAAAAACATATTTTTTAAATATATTTAATTATCTCATTTACCATCTATTTACTATATATAAGTAATATGGTGTATGTGGAAAATACCAACTCAAAAACATTCACAATTCTCGTAAAAAAAAAAACGTATTTTTTTAGTGTATTTAGTTGAGCTGATTACGTATTTTCAAATGTATTAGAATGACCCTTTTGTATTATTTAAAAAAATTTCAAAAAAGAATTACATAAAAAATGAATTTTAATTTTTTTTACATAGGACTGGTGGGCCCCGCCCGGGTGCTGGACGGGGACCGGTTCTCAAAACCAAGCCTCATACACTTTAACCGGCATTCGTATTTGGGTTGGGACCGGTTACCAGATCACTATTTTTGGATTGGGGCCGATTTTTGGTCACCTCTAACTACGTCATGCTTCACGTCATTTAAAACCTTGATTTTAAGTGATTAAGTTCATAAATTATTGTTTTAGCAAATAAATCGTTTAACTTTCTAAAATCCAACAAATATATCTTTGAGTAAATTGCAATTTTGCTTACTGTGATTTGTTATTTTTCTTGAATTGAGTCCTTACAAAAATTTTATTACAAGAAAACCCTTGTAGTATATAAAAATGCTCGGTTTTAGTCCCTAAGACTAACTCTGCTAGCTTCCCTCCCGTTAAATCCTCCCATGTGGCTTACACATGAGGGTACAATGGTCTTTTTAGGCCACTGTTAAATCCCATATGGCTTCCCTCCCGTTAAATCCTCCGTAGCTAAAATAACATGACAACCCCCTAAATAAAATATAATTCATTTTAACAAACAAAACAAATTTAGGGGCCGTTTACCTAAATGCTTACTGGATAAACGTTTACCTTTACGAGTCAATACTATAATTTATTTTGTCGGGTAAGATTGTAGTACGTTAAAATGGTATCGTATGCAACTATTTACACGGTAAGCACTTATCCAGGTAAGAGTTGTCACTCTCACTTACCGAGTAAAAATCTTCATCTTTATCATTGTTCTTACCAGGTAAGATTTTTAACTCTTATCATGTTAATCCAGTAATGAAAGTTACCCAGTAAGCACTTTCCAGATAAATGTTTAGTAAACGGCCCCTTAGTAATTTTCTTTAAGATAAAATTATTTGACTTGTCGTAAAAAGTAAATATCAAGTCCATCCAGTCAAAGAAATATACTTCTTCAGTCTTAAAATAAATGTTTCGTTTTTATTTATATTTGTCCCAAAATAAATGTATCGTTTCAAAACAGATAATTAAATTCACTCATAGGTAGTGATAGGCAAAAAAAGGGGTCCCGGGCCGGGTCGGTCCTAATCGGTTCCAAACTTTTTCATAACCGGGCATAGCCGGTTGCGGTCGAAAATGGTAAGACCG